CCGGGCCGGGCCGGTGCGCGCCCACGTGGCCGCCAGCAGCGGCAGGGGTGAGCCCGGGCCCCGGTGGCCGCGTTGCTGGTGACTTCAGTGGGGCCGGGAGTCCGCCTGCGGCCCGAGCTGCCCCTTCGCCCACGGCTCCTGATGGCAGGATCTGGGCCGCGGCTGTTAGAGGCGGGGGCTGCCCGTTTGATCGCTTTCCTCAAGCCCGTGCCACGCTGGCCGGCCGCCTGCGAGCCGCCCCCGCGGGTTCACCGGCTCCCCAGGGAAGGAGGCTTCCGGCACGGCCCCTGGGGGACCCGAGGAGCGGCTCCCCTCATTGCCGTGGTCCCGCTGGGCGAGCCAGGCTCTCATCCACCCTGCGCCTACCTTCCTGAAGGTCACCCCTTGCTCCTGCCTTCATTCCCCCTTTGTGCCACCCCCTCCCCTCTTCGCTTAGGTGTAAGCTGTGGGGTTTCGCATCCGGGCAGAGGGGCAGCGTGGGTGAAGGCCCGTGGAGCGGCCTGCAGGATCGGGGCCGGAGTCACTGCTGAGCCAGGCTGGGCACGTTTCGCCCCTTCACCTCCCACCCGTGTGGGCTAGGGCTTTTGGGTGAGCAGGGACCCCCCAGAAGTGAACGTGATACGCCGAGCTGGACGGAGAAGCAACCAGGCCCTTGTCTCCACATTGGGCTGCAAAGGCCTTTCTGTTCAGCTTCTCCCAAAGTATGTTTATCCTTGAGTTTCATTAGCTGTTTATTCCTCCTTCCTGCCACGGAGGAGGATGTTAGCTAGAACTGGACAAGAGCATCGTATCTTATTGGACCTCTTCCCCACTCGGGTTAACGTGTTGCCTTCTGCTTGGAGTTCGCCGGATGTGTTTCTGAGTGTGCCGGTGGTGCCCCTTGATGGGCACACTGCATAACTTCAGCAAATCCGGGGAATTAGCTTGGGCTTCTGGCTCTTGCGCTAAGCTTCAGTCCACATCACGACAGACTGGGAACGGACAGCTAGAGCTGTGACAGAACCTATCAGATGCTTTACTAAAATCTTAGCATGTCATACCCTGCTCGCTTTCTGGTGATATGAGATTGAGCCAGGATTGTTCCAGAGCAGGATTAGACACGGCAGCAAAGCCACATAGTCCTGTCTATGCCATAACGCACCGCGATGCTCCTGCTGCCATCCAGGTCCTCACTTGGTCACTGGCAATGCAGACTCAGTGGGTGAGGGTGAAGGCATTAGATTACGTTTCTAATGCCTATGACAGCCAGCCACGTGGGATAATCCCATTGTGGTCATTACTGAGCATGTGCCTATCTTTAAACATGGGAGTTATCCCTGCTGAGTTTCACTGAAGTCAAAAGAGCTACAGAAAGCATCTTTCTGAATCAGGGCGCACTGTGGGGTGTTTCTAAAAAAGACCCTCTTGTGCAATTGCTAATGTCTCTCAGCAGAGTTAGAACATAGTCCATTTTGTAGTGTAGACAGGACCTCACCCCTATACCAAGCCAAATTCATGAAGGGGTGAGGTCCTGAAGGGGTGGGATTAATAATTCTGTACATCTGTATGTAACGTACTATTTATTACTCTTGGGTCATCTTCAGCTACATGCAATATATATCGAGGTTTCCTTCATAAAGTAAAAATTGTGCTTTCCTGTCTCATGTCCCCGCCCCAGGACAGTGGGAGATGGGAGATGTCCTGGGCTTTATCAACAGCCCCTAAGAGTGACCAATGAGTTTAACTACAAATTGTTTCAAGAAATGTATGTGAGTAATAAAGCTTTTTGGTCTGCCTCCACTGGCTGCTGCTAGAGAGTAAAGCTTCTGTGATCTATTATTATTCATATTTTGTTTTATGTGAAACACATTTAGAATGTAAATACTAAATATGCTTAACAGATGCAGAAGGCAGAAATAAAATTTCGACAATACATGCATCCTGTTTTTCACTCCCAAATCCTCCAGCACCACAAGGGATGAGAATTATTCAGACAGGAGAAACAAAGGCAGAGAGGTGAAATAATCTGGCACAGTCAAGAGTCAAACTCAGGGCTCCTGACATCACATACAGATCATGGCATCGCAGATACATCTAAAAGTGATAACTTTTTAACTGGAAAGATGAGTGCCCTGATATGGAGAACAAGTCTGTCATTTTTGCCTCTAAATTGTAGCTTGCCTTTCTCACGAGGGGGTGGATTTCATCCCTGCATCAGAACATCCCGAAGTGAGTAACTACAGGAGATGCCAGATGGATGGATGGAGGGATGGAAGGAGCCAATTTTCAAAGGGTTTAGAGTTTCAGCAACAGGGTCGAGGCTTCTCTTACTATCTGGCTCTGGCCATGGTGTAGAAAAATGAGTTTCCCCTATGTGCAGAGACATTCCTATTTTCTTTTCTGGATTATGTTAGTGGATTGCAGGTAGCAGTTATGGAGGCAGTAAAGAGGAAACTCTTGCTTGGCCCTTACCTAGAGATCCATGAGCTTGGCTCACAGGGAGCCCTTCTGACTCTGGCTGAACATCTTTCCTTTCGTCGGCTGCTCTCCCTATTCTCTGTGCACTGCTTGTCTAGCCCACACCTTCCCTCTGAAGGAGTTTTCTAAGCCTCTGACAAGACCGTTGCATGTACAGGGACAGAAATTTCTTGAAGTGGTGCAGAACAGTGGCAGTGCAGATGTACCCCTTTAAAAAAGTAAGACCTTTCTTGCATGTTTGAGACATACAGTGATTATATCCAATGTGTTTCTGGTTCAGAGGGGCTCACATTCCTGCACAGATGCAAGATACTGCATCTTTCATAGTATTTTCTAACTAATGCCGGAATCCCCACCAGTGTGACAGTGAGTTACTCTTTACCAGTAAGAAGATGACTTTTTAGCTGACAAGGCCTCATCACAGCTGCCAGGGTGCTCCAGTATTGCTACAACAGGACTATGGATGTGTAGGGAGCAGGCAGGCCTCAAAAGGAAATCGACTCCTCCACTGATCAGACTGACAGATGGGGTTCAGCAAATTATCTGGGCAATGCATGCAATTCAGCTGTTTGGCCTGATGAGTATAATCAAGCTGGTGGCAGCTCAGGTCAGTGGCTTGGAGCCACGCGGATACTAACGGCTTGGTACCAATGCAAAGG